AGGAGGTAGACAGTTCCTCCTGGAGAGCCCCAGGGAGAAAATAAGTATGAAACTTTCCAGAGATTTGTCCCCTTATCCCCACCTCTGTAGACAATAACACTTCACCTCTTGGACGCCTCCAGTTAGCAGGGCCAGTTTCTTCATTTCCTCCTGTCGGATCTGCTTGCTGTCAAGCCAGATTACCTCATTACAGAGCAACGGCTTCAGATCAGGTGTGGGATGAAGTTGGCCTTGGAGGCTATTGAAGATCAGAGCCAGGGACCGGGGCAGGATCCCTCCATCTTTGATGGTACCTAGAGGAATGTAAAAGATGGGTAGCTGAGGCAAGTGCCTTTCTCCTCCAATGGACAGCATCCAAAAGCAATGACAATACCATTATAGGGCAATCAGCAATCCTGTGAGGTCTACTACTCACCTTGAATCGTGTGGGTTTTCCCTGAGTTGGTGACTCCATATGCATAGATAAGCCAGTTCTGTCCTTTGAGTACGTCTTTTACCATCTCCTTCACAGTCAGGTTGAAGAAGGATGCTTGCCCTACTTCTGGTCCAAAGATCTAGAGACAGATTCAGTTTCTCAGAGACCTTTTATCTCCCATTTGCCTCCTGCGCAGAGCTAGCAGATGCATCTCTTCTTGGGTGGCTGACCCTAGACAATGCTCAAGCCACTTCTTCCTGCAGTGCTGCCAGCGGCTCCCCACACACTGAGGCCTCAACTACTCTCAGCCAGTCCATCTTTCACCCAGATTAACAAATACCTAAGGCTGTGGTCGTCGAGAGCCACATGCAGCTCTTTGGCCCCTTCAGTGTGGCTCTTCCACAAATGCCACAGCCTGGGCGAGTCTACTTTGAAGAAGTGGCGTTAGAAGAAGTTTAAGTTTAAAAAACTTGGCTCTCAAAAGAAATTTCAATCGTTGTACTGTTGATATTTGGCTCTGTTGATTAATGAGTTTGCCAACCACTGACCTAAGGTATGCTATCCACGAAGTCCAATGCTGCATATACAACGGGGCAACATAATGGTCACAAGCATCTGTGCTATCCTCAGATGGAACCTGTGGTGGACTCAAGTCCTAACCCTACCACTTCAGCAACATCACCTTCACTGAGCCACAGTACCCTCGTCAGGAAAATAGGGACAATATGATAATTATAATAGAGTTGTTAGGAATTAATGCACATAAAGTACTTGACACACTGGCTAGCTCATAACAAGGGCCCCTATATTGTAGACATGCATATACAGGGAAGGGCAAAAGTAGGTCTACAGTTAACATAGAAAATTATACAATAATTAATATAATTAATAATACAAGAATAAACTATTTCACACACAACTATAAAGGTACTTTCCCTCACCCTCTATAAGAAATTCACAAGCAAGTAAAAAGCTTTCCTTCTAAAGAGGGACTAAGGTTGCCCTTACATCTTGGTCCCATGTTCACAGACCAGTACCTTCATACCTGGGAAAAGGTGAACCTGTGAGTGGCTTGGCCAATTCCCCGCTCATTACTCTTCTGGGCAAAGGAGTCTTTGGGTGCCTGTAGCACAAGGGTCTCTGCATTCTCAATACGAACACAATCCTAAGAAGGGAAGACACAGTTGACACAGAAGGAAGCATTCCTGAGAACTCTTCTGTACTGTATCATTCCACCTTGAATCCTCCCTCAGAAACTCACCTGATCCTCCTGCCGTTCCAGCTCTGAAGGTAACAAGGGCCTGACCCTCAGATATACTTTCACCTTCTCTGTGCTATCCTCAGATGGAACCTGTGGCAGAATTCCAGACCAAAACTACAGGTTAATCTCAGCCATTATCTCTGAGCAGATGGGCAAGCATAACACAGTTCCTGAAAATAATGCTAACACTACCCTTGTTCTACCTCAAGTGTCTCTCTGTAGCTATAGCTACTCTTTGGTTCCATAATCATTCCAACTTACATAGATTTCTTTAGTACTTTATCCCTTTCCTACTGTCTCTTCAGTATCCTATAATCCTGGCTTACCACACCTAGAGTTAGAACTGGTTGACTACATAATATAGTAAAGCACAGTAGTTAAGCACCTTGGAAGCAGACACACCTGAATTTGAGATCCAATTTCATCATTTAGTAACTATAAGACCTTGAAAAACTTTAAATTCTCTTTGCCTCACTCTCCTCATATAAAATGGGGTTAATAATATAGTACCCACTTCATTCTTTCAACCAATATTTAAGAGATCTGTCTATTATGGCCCAGGAACTCTAAGAGGCATTATTGAGGCTCCTGCTTTGATAAACCTTTCTCTAAAAAGAGACTTATGAGCAGAGTTGTTCTCCACCAGGCGCATTTCCCTCCAAAGAACATTTAGCAGTGTCAGGACAGGTTTCTAGGTCGTCATAAGTGGGTAGAGGCCAGGAATGCTGCTAAGCATCTTGCAATGTCTATTATGGCCCAGGACATATCCATACAACAAAGAATTATCAGGTCTCAAATGTCAATGAGAACCCACCTAGACTTCTGGAGATAAACTTGGCCTTGTAGGGCCCCAGGAGTAGAGAGAAGGGAATCACGGGCAGGCCTGATGCCCAGCCTGAACTCCTCTGGAAGAAGGGTGAAGGCTATGACAAGTCCTAGCAATATTCTGCTTCCCCTCAGGATACCTAAATCAAAAGCCTTAACTGCTCCATTGGTTTCCCACCTGTTTTGGATTCATGAACGCCTTCTAGATCTTTTTTTTTTTTTTAATCAATCTTTATTGTTCATATTATTACAAAGGTTCCTCATTTCTTCCCCCTTCCACCAGGTTCCCACCCCACCCTCCGCCCCCTCCCCATCCCCCATTGTCCTCATCCATAGGTGCACAGTTTATGTTCAGTCTCTTCTTCCCTCCCTTTCCCCAATAGTAAATCCCTTTTCAGATAGTAAATCAGTTACTTAGCATTTTCTCATATCAATAATACCTCCACATGCCCAATGATACACTTCACACAAAAGACATTTCCCAATAGGTCAACTAGCTTCATCCAGGCCCCACCCAAGGCACTCACAGATCAACACCCCAGCCCTATACTAACTCAACACATCCAGATCTAAGCCTTCATCACTTGATTCAGCAGACCCTCAAGTTTCCGCGAAAGTTTCCAGCCATGTCTGAGAAGCAGCCGTGGGGCAGGGGCAAGCGAGGAGCAAGCTGTTCCAGGCCTAGCTGCTCAGGGCCACCTTCTAGATCTTGATGCAAACTCTGAATTGTTTTAGCTGAATAATATACCAGTGCAACTGACATCAAAGTTCTGCATCAAATTTTAAGGCTTTATGACATTCTGACAAATCAGGGACTACGTGTTAAGAACCAGCCTGTCCCCAATTTGGGTGTATGTTTTGTACATAAATATTGGTCGTTATATATATGGCTACCAAAACCAAACAAACAAAAAATGTCAACAAGAAACTCCAGCCAAGTACAAAGGCTTTATAAGTGGAAGCTATGGTTGGCATTAAGACCTGAATGTACATTCCACCTATTTAATGGCAGTTTGACCTTGTGCAAATTCTTCAAGGCCTATGGGCCTCTTGGTGGAGAGATAACTATTATCTTTCCCTCAAGGTATTAACTGATGATATGCACTTGAGGGTATATCATTAAATGCAATGCAAACAATAGTTCTACATTTTTTTTCTAGTCATGCTCCTAATTTTGAACTCTCAGACCCTGAGGAATGCTGGTCTTTGACCTCATACTAACTATAACTACTCAGTAGAGTAGGCTGGGGATATCACTTTCTGCTCCTACCACTCTCCAACTCTTTTACCTGCTGCTTGTCCTCCAAGGAGGTGGAGATGACAGAGCAGTCTGACAGCAGGTCCTTACGAACCACAGACCTCAAATCTGCAAGCGTGGACTCAAACATGGGGGACAGTACGACATCTTCATCCGAGAGCAAGCCGGCTGGCGGAGAAAGGATCCCTCGGGACATAGCTGGGGCAACTTAGGTCTAAAAAAAAGTGGGCAAGGAGAAGAATCTTAAGGACACAAAGGGTTGCAAATTCTAGGTAAAAAAAAACAACCCCAAAACCAATTCCCTTACCCCAGGACACCTTGGCATCGCCTCCTGAATCCCTACTCTCCTTTCCCTTCCACTCTCAGGAAGGGGATGATAGGAGTTAATCATTTAATACAGTTTAAGACCACCTACTGGAATGAACAGATACCTGGTTCAAAAAGCAGAAGGTCACGTTCCACGTAAGGTGCCTCGCCCAGGGGTGATGTGAGGGTGGCATCAATAGCACCTTCTCCAACCTCGCCCCCAGGCCCACCGTGAGGACAAGAGGAATTAAGAAAAAAGTGACGGCAGGCAGCTTTGCTTTCTGACAAGCCTGTCCTGCGAGGGAAAGAGCCGGTCCCCCAGCTGGACTCCAGCACAACCTTATACTCACCCGAAGACGCGACACCGTTCCCCGTCTGGTACCGGCCCACTCACACCCGGCCGCCGAACCCGGGCTTTGGGCCTTTATAGAACAAAACTCCGCCCACGAGGTGCGCCTTTGTTACTGATACAATGTTTTAAATTACGCGCTGCCTTCGTCCGCCAATCAGACAGAGAGGCCTTCACCTACCAATGAGCGCAAGGAAAGGGGGCGGGTACAACTGGGAACCGATTGGTTCCGGGTTGACCTTTCCTTGCTGATGTGCGTCCGGGTTACCAACTGTCGGAGTTTGGAGTTGAGCGCCGTGGAATTCTTCCCGCTTAATACTTTTTTTTTTTTCTTGGACCCTAAGCATTTATTTCCCACGAACGCCAAGGAAGTCCTGAGGTTTCAGCCCTCATCCTTGGTCCTTTAGCACGTCCCTTCTCAGGAGCGCCAAGGAGAGCTGGTTTAAGGCGCTTGTTCGTCTCGGGGTGGGAGACTACATTTCCCAGGAGACACACGAACAAACGCCCAAACTATTTCCCAGGCTGCCCCACGTCTCGGACCTCTGCGAAGCCGTCTTCCCTCGGGGGCCGAAGACTTCGGGCCAAGATGGCGACCGGAACGGGCAGTAAGTATCGGCGCTGCTTTGCGGGGAAGGCTGTTGTAGAGCCGAGGCCGGGCCCCGGTTTTCCGTCACGCGCTCGGGGAAGCCCACGATGTTCCTGAGAGCCCAGAGTCTTCAGAGACTTTTTCGCTCGACGGCGTCGTGGAAAGGCCATTATTTGGGGGTTCAGAAGAGTAGGGGTCTATGTCTTAGGGCGGCCGCGGAGGTTTGAAAGCAGCAGCTCAGCAAATCCTTGTACATTTGGGAACTGTGGGGAGTGAGGGTGTAAAGCTGCTCTAGAGACTCGGCGTGCAGACCAAGACGTGTTGTGAGCCGTACCGAGTGGCCGGTACCTCAAAGAGCCGTTCACCCTCGGACCAACGTTTGTGGGCTCCTGCTGTCTGCCACAGAGAAATGGGATAATTTTAGCCGCGAGCTTTTTCTGCCGCCAGGGAAACCGCGTCTCTTGCATCTCAGCCATTTTCCTCTGTTTTGTGGGCTGACAAGATCTTTTAGGCCTGACAACTCAAGGGGGCGGGGAGAGTCTGAAAACAGTAAACAAGTTCATGCTTCGGAGGAGGCGGTGCAGTGAGGGGAAATGAAATAAAATCCTGGGAAATGAAATAAAGTCCTGGAGTTCACATTGGCATAAAGTATGTATTATTAAAACGGCCTTTTGGGAAAACTGCTTTATCTTAATCTGACATTGTTTTTATTTTATTTTATTTTTTTAATATTTTTATAAAGCAGGGTGGTCATGAGGAAATTAAATATTTTGCCAGATACTCATTGCAATTCGCACGCAATGAATAGGTACCACCCATCCAGTGGTGATATTTTACTAGCGAGGTGAAAATCAAGATTTGCTGAGGGAGCTCACTTTGTCCTTACAAGTCAGGATGTTTTATATTAAGCTTTTAGACCTCCCTTTGGGGCCAAGAACTAGTGCCTCAGGGGTTGCTTCTAAACCTTCTCTCCTTTCAGAACACAAGCTGTTGAGTAGTGGCCCCACAGAACCATGGTCCATCCGAGAGAAGCTTTGTTTAGCATCTTCTGTCATGCGGAGTGGGGATCAAAATTGGTAAGGTATTTCAGATGTCTGGTTTCTTGGGTCTTCAAAATAGTTGCTTTAAATTTTTTTTTTTTTTTTTTTTTTTTACATTACTGGATTCCTGTAATTAGTCATACTGACTTGTAAGCAGTATCCTCCTATATAATAAAGGGTAATATGCAAATTGATCCTAACTGGGGGACAACAGGTTGCACTGACACACGCTAAACACCAAGGGACAGACACTCAATGCAGGAGCTGCCTCCTGGTGGTCAGTGCCCTCTAATAAAGGGAGCTCCACTCTGCCACAAGCCTGGCTCACCTCTGCAAGCTTAACAGCAGTGATGGTAGGAGTCTCTCCTGCCTCCTCAGTAGCTCTAAGGATGTTGACTGCGGTTTAGGCCCGATCTCCTGAGGAGCAGGCCTAAGCTGTTGGACATCCCCCAAGGGGTCCCAGATTGCAAGAGGGTGCGGCTGGATTGAGGGGACAGACATATATAGAAAAGTCTAAGCAACCGGTAGCTATGACAAGCACTGGGACCTTTCAGACCGCAGACTGACGCTCTACCACTGAGCCAAAGCGGTTTCGGCTATTTTTATTATTATTTTTATTTTTAAAAAATAAATTTTATTGATTTTCTTACAGAGAGGAAGGGAGAGGGATAGTTTGAAACATTGATGAGAAACATCAATCAACTGCCTCCTGCACACCCTCTCCTGAGGATGTGCCCCAACGCTCCATTCCCTGAGCCAAACCAGCCAGGGGACACTTTTATCTATTTTAAAAATAACTTTTCAAAGATGTGAGGCCATAGCTGGTTTGGCTCCGTAGGTAGAGAGTCAGCCCTTGGAGTGAAGCATTCGGTTTGATTCCGATCAAGGGTAGGTACCTGGTTTACAGGTTGGATCTCTAGCCTTGATCAGGGTGCATCAGGAGTCAACCAATCGGCGTGTCTCTCTCATATCCATGTCTGTCTGTCCCCTTTCCTTCCATTCTCAAAATCAAAGGAAAAAAGACCTCAGGTTAGGATTAACAAGCTAACAGACAAAAAAAAAAAAAAAAAAAAAATCTGTTCAATTTATATTTCCGTTGAGTTATATTTAAGTTAAATCTGAGATTTATCAACTTAGTGTTGTTCATTTTGTGTTGGGGTTTACCATTTACTTTGATTCAAGAACAACTGCTACATAGAATATCTCAAACCTTTTTAAAAAAAAATGTTTTTATTGATTTCAGAGAAGGGAGAAGGAGAGATAGAAACATCAATGATGAGAGAGAATCATTGATCATCTGCCTCCTGCATACCTCCTAATGGGGATTGAGCCCACAACCCAGACATGTGTGCTTACTGGGAATCAAACTATGTTGAAGGGAAGGGGGTGGGTGAGCAGAGAACTATCCACAGCAGAAACACATTAATCAGTTGCCTTCCACACTTGCCCCAACTGGAACCAGGAATCAAACCTACACCCAGGTACATGCCCTTGTCTGGGAATTGAACCCAAGACTCTGTGGTGCTTAGGTCAACACTCCGACCACTGAACCACATAGGCAAGGACTGAACTGACTTTTTTAAACAAACCGTCAAGGAAACTGGTTTGGAATGCAATCTAATCTGTATATTTTCTCACAATTTTATTAGAAAAATAGCGTGAAAACACTTTGAAATTTTAAATTGGTATTTATTTGTTGAGGAAGTACTATGACAAGGTTCAAAATTCAAAATGGTACAATGTCTTTCTCCCTCCTGTTAGCAGTTTCTTATGTTTCTCTAGGCATTAATTTTGTAAATATGAACAAAAATATATTTTCTTTTTCCTTTTTAAATATATTTTTATTGATTTCAAAGAGGAAGGGAGAAAGAGAGCTAGAAACATTAATGATGAGAGAGAATCACTGATTGACTGCCTGTTGAATGCCTTTGCTGGGGATGGAGGCCACAATGTGGGCATGTTCCCTGACCTGGAATTGAACTGTGAGCTCCTGGTTCATGGGACAATGCTCAACCATTGAGTCACACCAGCTGGGCATATTATATCTTTTAGGTCTTTATATTTGTATATCAGGATCTATCTTATTGCTGCTTTTTTTTTTTTTTTTTAAACAGCTACATGGTATTGTTTTTGGATATATCATAAAATGGTACTATCTTAATGGACATTTGCCTACACAAATACAATCTTGCATAGTTATGTATAAGTTCTATTTAAGATAAACTGAAAGTAAAATAATTAGATCAGCCGAAACCAGTTTGGCTCTGTTGATAGAGTGTTGGCTTGCAGATTGAGGGGTCTTAGGTTCGACTCTGGTCAAGGGCATGTACCTTGGTTGTGGGCGCATCCCCAGTGGAGGGTGTGCAGGAGGCAGTTGATCGATGTTTCTTTCTCATCAATGTTTCTAACTTTCTACCTCTCTCTTCCTCTCTGTAAAAAAAATCAATAAAATATATTTTAAAAATAATTGTATCAAAGAGTTTATATGAGTTTATAAAATTTGACAAATATTTTGAATTGCCCTACTCAGAGATTGTTTCAATTTATACTCCTTTTGATAATATACTAGAATGTCTGTTTTCTATACCCTGGTTCATAGATTGTGGTTTTTTGTTTTTTTTAAAATAAATTTTATTGATTTTGTACAGAGAGGAAGGGAGAGAGATAGAGAGTTAGAAACATCGATGAGAGAGAGTCATCGATCAGCTGCCTCTTGCACACCCCCTACTGGGGATATGCCCGCAACCAAGGTACATGCCCTTGACCGGAATCGAACCCGGGACCCTTCAGTCCCCAAGCCGACGCTCTATCCATTGAGCCAAACCAGTCCCGGCAGATTGTGTTTTTGATCTTTGACAGTATTATAAAAGATGAGAAATAGTTTTCCTTTTTTCATTTGCATTTTATTCTGTGTTGAGTGAGGTAGAATATTTTCATGTGTTAAGGAGCCAATTTTATTCCATCTATAAATGATTTTTCCATTTGATTATATCCTCTTAATTTGGGGGGCTACTTGTGTATTGGAGAGATTAATCATTTGAGGTGTGAGATGCAGCTTTTTGCGCCATCTGACTTATATATGGTGGTATTTTTACCGTAAAAGTTTTTTTTTTTAAATATATTTTTTTGATTTTGTACAGAAAGGAAGGGAGAGAGATAGAGAGTTAGAAACATCGATGAGAGAGAGCCATCGATCAGCTGCCTCCTGCACACACCCCCACTGGGGATATGCCCGCAACCAAGGTACATGCCCTTGACCAGAATCGAACCTGGGACCCCTCAGTCCCCAAGCTGACACTCTTATCCATTGAGCCAAACCGGTCTTGGCTACCTTAAAACTTTTAAGCCCTCACCAGATAGCTCCATTGGTTAGAACATTGTCCCAATATGCCAAGGTTGTGGATCCCTGGTCAGTCCAGTAAATACATAAATAATTGGAAAATCAAATCCATCTCTCTCAGTGTGTTTCTGTCTCTCTCTGCCCCCTCCCTCCCTCTAAAATCAATCAATAAAAATAAATAAAATATTTTAAAAATGTGATTTAATAATTTTCTTTTACAGCTCTTGGATTTTGTGTCATAGAAAGATCTTCTTTAGTCTAAAATATAAAATAGTCTATGATTTCTTCTAGTACTTTCATGGTTAAATTTTTTTGAACATTTAAATCTTTGGTGTATTTAGGACTTTTCTCAGTATAAGTTATAAATTATGGATCAAATTTTAAGAACTTTTTAAAGTTATGAAATATTTCAACCTTAAAAGAGAAGTATGGAGAATAATCAATCTAGATTGCCCATGTATTCAGTACCTGGACAGAAAAAAGTCTTAATATACTTAAAAAAATATCTCATTCTGGTCCAACTCTTTTCATTTTTGCATGTTTATCTTTATACTTACAACTTTTTAAAAGATTGTATAATTATTTCATAGCAGAAAATTGTCAGCTTTTTTAGTTAATATTGTTATATTCATATCACCACATATATTCCATGGTTATATTTATGGACTGTTCAATATTTCATAGACTTAAAGAGTCATATGGTAAAGATCCTTTTGCAGGCATTTAGGAAAACCTAACTATTCACCATTCTGATCAAGTTTACACTATACTTCTTGGTGCTTGCTTATTTTGTTAATTTTTTTTTTTTTATCCTCACCTGAGAATATTTTTTCCATTGATTTTTAAAAAATATTTTTTATTGATTTCAGAGAGAAAGGGAGAGGTAGAGAGAGATAGAAACATCAATGATGAGAGAGAATCATTGATTGGCTGCCTCCTGCATAACCCAACCAGGAATCAAGTCTGCAACCCAGGCACATGCTTTTGATTGGAATCAAACCTAGGACCCTTCAGTCTGCAGACCAGCATTCTACTCACTGAGCCAAACCAGCCAGGGCTCCATTGATTTTTAGTGAGGGTGGAAGGAAGGAAGGAAGAGAGAGAAACATTGACATGAGAAAGACACATTGGTTGCCTCCTACATGCACTCAACGGGGGCAAGGTAATTAATCTACAACATAGATTACTTGCCCTTGACTAGGTATCAAACCTGTGAACCTCCTGTGCAAGGACTGATGCTCTATCACTGAGCCACATCTGCCAGGGCTGTTGCATTATTTTCTTATATTACATTACTAGGAGCTATATTTTTGGATCAGAAGAACATTTTTAGGTCTGTATTATATTATAAATTGCTTTTCAAAAGGCAGATCTTTTCTGAGAAGTCAAAATCAACATAAAAATATTTTCCCAAATGAACAGAAATGATGCTTTATTAGGTTCTAATACCTTCACTTCACTTGGGAAATACATCACCTAGGAAAACTTTAGCAATGAATCCTTCTAAATGACTTTGAAGTAATGTTATTTTCCATAGTCACATTTGACAGTATACCTTCCAGTGGCAGTTTCCCCCCCCCAAGGTTTGTACTTCAAACATTGAACTGTCAGTGTATTTTTCCTCTCTGTGCCTTCCCCTGTCTTTTGCGCCCCTCTTCTTTCTTCTGTTTAGTGTGTATTAAGGCTTTTCTTATTTTATAGGGTATCGGTTAGCAGAGCAATCAAGCCCTTTGCAGAACCTGGCCGCCCTCCAGACTGGTTCTCGCAAAAAGTAAGTTCTCAAGCAAGTTTTAGAGCAGTCTCTGAGATTGTGAAGTGGGTTCCCTGCCTTGTAATCACAAGGCTTTTACACCATGAGGAGGGAGAGTACCTTTTCATTATCTGTTGTTTGCTTATCTATCCACGTATGCTCGTTTTACAAATTACTATTGTCAGTGTAGTATAATTGTTAAGAGCCCCTCTTCAAAAGAAATATCTAAAAGTAAAAAAAACAAAACAAAAAAAAACCCGCGCACACACACAAAAGAGCCCAAGCTTGGGATTAAATAGATCTGGGTTTAATATGACTCTGCTTGAACACTTTGGACAATGAGCTTCAGTTTTCATTTGTAAAATAGAGATAAAAGTTGCTTCAGGATTGTTTTGAAGATTCAACTGAGGTAATACCTATGAAACATTTAGCACAGTGCCTTGCATATGGTAACTACTCAGTAGATAATAGCTATAAATATTGGCTATTAGGTTGTCTTTTTATTTTGAGCTGATTTGACACTAAGTAATTTGCTCTCCTAGAAACACTCATGTCTCCCTTCTCTAAACTTTAGTATGTTTAAATTTTCTTGGCTTGCTCATCTTTCACTTTTTTTTCCATAGCATTGTGCTTCTCAGTACTCTGAACTTCTAGAAACTACCGAGACCCCAAAGTAAGTACAAAATCAGGCACTCAAGTTAAATCTCTTTTGTGGATTGAGAGTGTTTACTGAGGAAGTCTTGGTTTATATCTATTTATATTACTGGGTGATAAAAGTATTGGAGAAGTTATCTGTGGTTAGGTGGTGGTTGAAAAGGCTCAAAGAAAGCAAGTGGGAATGGGAATAGATGTTCTCTTATTCAAATGTTATATGTTTTCATTTTCCACAGACGGAAACGGGGTGAAAAGGGAGAAGTGGTGGAAACTGTTGAAGATGTCATTGTTCGGAAACTGACTGCTGAACGAGTTGAGGAATTAAAGAAAATGATAAAGGAAACCCAGGAAAAATATAGGTACTTTTCAGAGAAATGCCAAATGATTGGGGGAGACAAAAGAGAATGACTTCTAATACTGGTCAGGATTTTATTTATTTTTAACATTTTAATATATTTTTATGGATTTCAAAGAGGAATGGAGAGGGAAAGGGAGAGAGAAACATCAATGATGAGAGAGAATCATTGATCAGCTGCCTCCTGCATGCACCCAACTGGGGATCAAGACCACAACTGAGCATATTGCCCCTTGACCCTGAAATTGAACCCGTGACACTTCAGTCAGCAGGCTGAGTTTCTGTCTACTGAGCCAAACTAACTAGGGCAGGATTTTATTTTTATTTTTCTTGATTTCAGAGAGAGGAAGGGAGGGGAAAAAGGAAGGAGGGAGGGAGGGAAAGAGAAACATCAGTGAAGAGATAATCATTAATTGGACACCTCTTGTATTTCCCACACTGGGGGCCCACATCCTGGACATGTGCTCTGACAGAATCAAACTGTGGCCTCCTGGTTCATGGATTGACGCTCAACCCCAGAACCACACTGACTGGACTGGTCAGAATTTTTTAAGTAGCAGATTAAAAAAACCCAAGTCTATCTACCACTCTTTCTTCCTACAGACGACTGAAAAGAGATGCAGAACTAATTCAAGCCGGGCACATGGACAGCAGACTGGAGGAGCTTTGCAATGACATTGCAACGTGGGTTACATTATGTTATTATTCTTATACTTTTTTCTCTTTACCTCCTTTTCTCCTCTAATAATCTGGCTTATTTTCTCTTCTGCCATTCCTTTAAGACTTGGAGAGATTCTGGAAAGGAAAGCTGCATAGTGGCCTGGTATTGGGAGGGGGTGGGGCAGAATGAGTTCTAGAAAGTAATGAGATAGAACATTACAGTATGAGAACATAACTTAGTTCTAACTTAAAAGTGGCTTTAGTTTGTGTGGATGAAGAACTGGTAATTAGGCAGTACTCAAATTTTCTTTTTTTTCTAATATATTTTATTGATTTTGTACAGAGAGGAAGGGAGAGAGATAGAGAGTTAGAAACATCAATGAGAGAGAGTCATCGATCAGCTGCCTCTTGCACACCCCCCACTGGGGATGTGCCCGCAACCAAGGTACATGCCCTTGACCGGAATCGAACCTGGGACTCTTCAGTCCCCAAGCCGACGCTCTATCCATTGAGCCAAACCGGTCTTGGCAGTACTCAAATTTTCCTATTCTAATAATGATTCCTTTTTAGCCCTTTCATCCAGAAACTGCTAGCCAGGCAAATAATTTCCTTGTCAGGCACTGTGAAATGTAGAGGTGCTTGAGCTGGCTAGGATCTAACCTTTAATTTTCTATTTAGGAAAAAGAAATTGGAGGAAGAGGAGGCTGAAGTAAAGAGGAAGGCTACGGATGCTGCATATCAAGGTAAGCTGAGCCTAGTGACTATTTAGCGATTGACTATACGGTATTGCATTCTACAAGCAATTGAAAACTATTTTATAATGTAGAATCCACTGATTCCAATTTACCTGCACACTTTCCTTTGTCATCTCTTTTATCAGAATAAAAACATCCCTTTGTTTCCTGGAAAGAACTCTTAGAAAATTAGCTTTGCTCAAGTCTCAGTAGATCTGTGTCCTTTTAGGATACAAAGGTTTGAAAATAAAGATATTGAACATAATTAAGATTTTAGAAGTCAAAGGCCTATAAAAAGATTGAGAATATCCCAGGTACTGGATAAGAAGAGGAACTTAAGCATTTGTAATTCTAGGAATACATGCTCTGAGTTCAGGAGGTCTTTCTTGTTAAAAGCAGAATCTTTTATTTAAAAAAAAAAAAAAAAAAAAAAGGTTTTTATTGATTTCCAAGAGAGAGAGAAAGAGAGAGAGAGAGAAACATCAGTGATGAGAGAAAAGCATTGATTGGCTGCCTCCTGCATGCCCCCTACTGGGGATTGAGCTCAAAACTCTGGGTATGTGCCCCAACTGGGAATTAAACTGTGATCTCCTGGTTCATGAGTTAACACTCAATCACTGAGCTGCACCAGCTGGGCAAAAGCAGAATCTTAAAAAGTTGTTGAGAATATTGGAGGATGTTTAAACCATTTTCCTACTCCAAGGATCTTTGGGATAATTGAATAGTTTAAATGTTTGCTTAATGTGCTCAGCCGGTGAGGTTCAGTTAAGCATTGGACTCATGCACCAAAGGTCCGTCAGTTCAATTCTTGGTTAGGACATGTACCCGGGTTGTGGGCTCATTCCCTGGTATGGGGCATGCAGTAGGCAGCCGGTTGATCCGTCAGTGTTTCTCTTCCACTGATATTTCTATCTCTCTGTCCCTCTCCCTTCCTCTATTTCTAAAATTAATAAAAACATTAGTTTTCAATTCCTTTTTTTAGATGAAAAATTAAAAGGTGTTTGTTTAAGAATTTCTTTTGGATAAACTTTCTTGTTTCCCAGAAGTGTTACTGAAAGTCTTTTTAAAAACACTGCAGTTACTCAGAATAGGCCAAAAGAAAAAAAAATTTATGAGTTTTTAAATTTCATGAAAGGACCACATATGATACTATGTACATCAATTTGATGTGCAAGTGTGCAATAAATATATACTTTCCTTCCTATCTGCTTTATGTCTTTCTAAAGTATCCATAGATCAAGCTGAGATTTAGAAATGTGAAAAAGCCATAACAGTGAAAATGAAAATAACAGACACAAAAAAGAAAGCTTTCTAATCCAAACTCAGTGTTGTTTAAGTAATGCACTATACCTATTTGTCCTTCATTATATAATAGCCAAGAAGTGTCTAGTTTCACTTAATTAATCTTGAAGACTTAGAAATTGTTCTCTTATATGTTCTAGCTCGTCAAGCAGTAAAAACACCCCCTCGGAGGTTACCCACCGTGATGGTTCGATCTCCTATAGATTCTGCCTCCCCAGGAAGTGATTATCCACTTGGGGACTTGACTGCAACCACTATGGAAGAGGCCACCTCTGGGGTGAGTATATTTCCATATGCAGGAATTAATCAGCAAAGGGGCAATAAGCCAGCAGAGAGCTGAGTGATGAGGAAATCACTTTTGGCCTGGAGGCAACTTCCTCTCTTGGTCTGAATGTCAAAGACTTTACCTTGCTCTGTGCTCTTAAGATAAGATAAGATAAGATGGACCTAAAAACATTGAGGCTTTGAACTTTTGAGAGGAATTGTTTGTAAGTGTATGAAATTCAGGCTGAAATAAGGAACAGTTTTATAATATATAATATTGATAGTGGGTAAGGAGTTTGTATAAAAGGTAGGTTGGGTGGAGTGATTGGATCATTATGGGTAGGTGTAAAAGAAACAATTGTGGGGAAGAAAGTATGGCTGAGAGCAGGAGGATAGGGGGTTTCTGGGCAGTTCCACTCAGGACTAAAACAATAATAGTTAGACACACTAACCCACCCAGATTAATAGGGAACCTTTCAGAGTTTGAGAAGTCAGATAAAGGTTCTCTGTTGTCTCTTAGGTAACCCCTGGGACTTTGCCGAGTACCCCAGTCACCTCGTTTCCTGGGATTCCTGACACCCTTCCTCCAGGCTCTGCACCCTTAGAAGCCCCCATGACCCCAGTAACAGATGATTCACCCCAGAAAAAGATGCTTGGACAGAAAGCAACTCCACCCCCCTCCCCTCTGCTGTCAGAGCTCTTGAAGAAGGGCAGCCTCCTGCCTACTAGCCCCAGACTGGTATGGAGACTTCTGTGGGTGTTTGAGAGCTGTGGTGATTTAACATTTTGGAAGGGAGTGCCTGGGACCTAAAATATGACATGGAAAAAAAGATTCAAAAGAGGAAGAAATCTCCTAGTTAAATGTTAATTAAAAAAAAAAAAAAAAAAAATCCAACACAGTAAGTTGATAGTATTCTTGGATCCTGAGGTATTTGAAACCATAATTATTTTGGTTCTCTTCTCCAGAGAACTCTTGTTACAAAATTAAGAGTTTCCCTTGGGCCTGAAATTACTCTCTTTGGATATTAACTTTTATTTTTGTAAAGTTTGGTCAACTGCTGGAGCTTTTTTGGGAAGTGGTAGTAAAGGAAAGCTTGAGTGTAGCCTTCACCTCTATTCTTCCCTGATAGGTCAATGAGAGTGAAATGGCTGTGGCTTCTGGCCACCTGAACAGTACAGGTGTCCTCCTGGAGGTAGGCGGGGTCCTTCCCATGATACATGGTGGGGATTTGCAGCAAACATCCAACACTGTTGCAGCCTCCCCTGCTGCCTCAGGTAAGTCATCACTTTTCCATTACTCATTTTACTTTAGAGATATTGAACTTGGCATTGATAGTCCTTGGTTTCTAGCCTTCGTTACTAAGCAATTGTTAATCCTAGATTTAAAGTCCAATCTTGGAACTATTTAACTGTTAAATCCTGTAGTGTCCCAGATTTTAAATCCATTTCATCTTCAAATTATTGATAGCCTTGGGTGATCACAGCATAGATATTAGAGGACTGGAGAAATTAATAGTGAAGCTGCTTCTCTGGGGCTTGCAAATCAAGATACCTGAGTTTATAGAGTAGAGGATTGAGATTTAGATTCAGGGAATTGGACTTGAGTCTCAGGCCTACCACACTCTGGTTTTGTGACCTTGGCTAAGTAACTTAACTCTTTTTTTTATTTTATTTTATTTTTTTTTATTGATTTTTTACAGAGAGGAAGAGAGAGGGATAGAGAGTTAGAAACATCGATGAGAGAGAATCATCAATCAGCTGCCTCCTGCACACCCCCTACCGGGGATGTGCCCACAACCAAGGTACATGCCCTTGACCGGAATCGAACCCGGGACCTTTCAGTCCCCAAGCCAACGCTCTATCCATTGAGCCAAACCGGTCTCGGCAGTAACTTAACTCTTGAGCCTCAGTTTCCTCTTTTATTAATTGCAATGTTTATACTTTGTAAAAATGTAGTGAGAATTAAATGTAAGGCAAAAAAAAGCCCTTTACAAAATACCAAACAAACATTGGCATTTGATTTTGGGTGGTTTATGACACACTTTAGCAGAGTGACATTTATTCAGACCAGTTTTTGTTATGTTTTAATTTTTTTCTGAGGAAAAATTACTATCCAATTTTATATACATTGCGTCTTCTCTAGTGCTTTGGGTCATTCCTATCTTAGTATAAGACAGTGGTTGGCAAATTCAGTCAACAGGGCCAAATATCAACAGTACAACGATTGAAATTTCTTTTGAGGGCCGAAAACCGACTTCTGTGCATGGGCCACGAAGTTTCAATCGCACAGTATGTGTGAGCCTGCACATGGTATTTTGTGGAAGAGCCACACTCACGGGGCCAAAGAGCCACATGTGGCTTGCGAACTACAGTTTGCCAACCAATGGTATAAGATATTAAGTAAAATTAGAGAAAGTAAAGTTATAGTTAATGAGTTTATTCAACAGGAATTGCTTTCAGCCTTTGAGATTAAAATTTTCTTGGTTGTGTCTTAAAGTGGCCATTGCTTCTTATTTATGTGCTTCTTTCTTACCTCATTTTGTGTACCTCTTTGTCTGTTAGGTGCTCCCACTCTTTCCCGGCTTTTAGAAGCTGGTCCTACACAGTTCACCACACCTCTTGCTTCCTTCACTACTGTTGCCAGTGAGCCTCCAGTTAAACTTGTGCCACCCCCTGTAGAGTCTGTGTCCCAGGCTACCATTGTCATGATGCCTGCGCTACCAGCACCATCCTCTGCTCCGGCTGTCTCCACTCCTGAGAGTGTAGCTCCAGGTGCGTCCCTGACCCACGCCCTGAGCAGCTGTTAGGTCCAAAATGTCAGTTAGAGGTGATCAAGAGCATTAGCTCTAATTCACATGCCTCTGTTCTGTTCCCCATGGACATTTGTCATCTTTATTCTTAGAAAAACAAGGATATGAGAAGAGATGGGTGGGCATTTATGTGTTGGGGAAAAGGCCAAATGTACACATAGGAGTGGGGTTGAGAATATGTTTTCACCTTACTTTCTAGATAAACTGGGAGAAGAAAACGGGCAGATGTAAGAACTTTTTCTGAGCTTTAGTGTATGGGGACTTGGCATCTGTCTACATCCTTGATGTGATCTCCATGTGGTTGCTTGGTTCTAAATAAGCTTCTGAGATACTTTTCTCTTCCTGTTATTCAGTGAGTCAGCCTGACACTTGTGTTCCCATGGAGGCTGTGGGGGATCCACATACTGTGACTGTTTCCATGGATAGCAGTGAAATCTCCATGATTATCAATTCTATCAAAGAGGAGTGTTTCCGATCAGGGGTAGCAGAGGCTTCTGGAGGATCAAAGGCTCCCAGCATAGATGGGAAGGAAGATTTAGATCTGGCTGAGAAGATGGATATAGCTGTGTCTTACACAGGTGAAGAACTTGATTTTGAAACTGTTGGAGACATCATTGCTATCATTGAGGACAAGGTAACTATTCAGCAACACCCAAAAGAATCTCTCATGGGTCATATATAGGCTTCTCTCCTCAGCCTTTCCTTGCTTCTCATAGTAACAATTACATAAACAATTTTCATGCCTCTGCCCACTTCCATCTCTGTAGTCCCAAAGCACTTTGGTGCTGATGTACTAGTTATCTCCTGAGCCATCCTTATATTATTGGTTTGCACATGACAGATGCCTGTCCATTGATTGCTTCTAATACATGTTGAAAATGGAGAGAGAAGCTGCAGATTCAGGCCATCTCCTTCAGTGCTAACAGAATTTAGGTAATTGGGCTTCTGTGACTTCAGCATGTTTATTTTATGGGACAGGTAGATGATCATCCTGAAGTGCTGGATGTGGCAGCAGTGGAAGCAGCATTGTCGTTCTGTGAAGACAATGATGATCCTCGGTCTCTGCCTGGCCCCTGGGAGCACCCTATGCAGCAGGAACGGGACAAGCCAGTACCTCTTTCTGCACCAGAATTGACAGTCAAGCAAGAGAGGCTGGACTTTGAGGAATCAGAAAACAAAGGAATCCATGAACTGGTAGACATCAGAGAACCTGGTGTTGAGATCAAAATGGAACCTACAGAACCAGAGCAAGGCATTTCAGGGGCTGAAATAGTCACTGGGGTTGCTCCAGCCACATGTATGGAGCCACCAGAACTCAGGAATCAGGACATAGATGAGGAACCCAGAAATACTGCAGCTGGAGAGATTGCTGAAGTAGACGTTGCCAGTGGGAAAAGCGATGAGACTGCACTTACAGCTGTAAAGACAGAGGTATTTATGATAAGAGCCTGGGAGGGTGGAGGGTTATACCTTAGGTAAGAAGTGAAAATTTAGGCCTCTGGTTTTTTTTGTTGCATTCCTGAATTTTAACATGTTTGATGTGTCTAAAGTGTATAAGTGTGATCAGTGCTATACATACATATACTTATATCTATTAAATATATTAGAATCTAATTACATGGATAGGACTTGGAATTGCTTATATAGTCACATTATCATTGAAGAATAAAATTGTGTAAGCTGTAGTGATTTACCAGTACTTAGGGTGTTTGTTGTTTTTGGTTTTTAGGCATCCCCCGAGAGCATGCTATCTCCATCACATGGCTCAAATCCCATGGAAGATCCTTTAGAGGCAGAAACTCAGCACAAATTTGAAATGTCAGGTAAATAATAAGGCCAGAAAATCTGTAATCTGTAATTAACTTGAAATCTTTTTGCTTTAGCTTCTGAGGGATTGTGGGTTGTGGGCAGGTAGAGGAGATAGAATAGGTCAGCATGCAAAGGAGAGCAGCAGGGGATTATTGTCCATAGGAAGGGGAAGGCTAAGGTGGAAAACTCTTCAGGTAGTCTTTCTCTCCTCTGCAGACTCATTGAAAGAAGAATCAGGGACTATTTTTGGAAGCCAGATAAAGGTATTTCAGACTTTTCTTTATTCCTATTGGTGTGTGACTAGATTTCCCTATAGCACTACATTTTTAACAAATTTCCATAAATTCCCATCCTTATTCTCTGAGATGAGACTGGTTTAGGAGTTGCATGGGGAAGAGCTGCAGTGGACAGTTAGGTGTAGTGGGAATATTATGGCAACATGTGCTTCCCATCTGAAAATTTATGAATATCATACAGACCTTTGTTTGCATATAGTGCATAAAGAAGCTTTGATATATTCAGAGTGATATATCAAATGAATAGGGATATTAGAGATAGGGAGAACATATAAGAAATTAGGTTATTAGTTACACTATTAACTACTAGTTACACTATCATCTTTTTAGAATTACTGAAGTAGTATTAAGAGACTCAAATAAAGCAATGAGTTCTTGCTCCATCAGATAAGACACAAAATAAAAGCTATTTTTGATAACTTTGTACCCAGGGTCAGAGTTCCTCTCAAGAGCAAGGGGAAAGAAGGAACGCCTCTTAGCTTAGTCTTAAGTAAGTAGCTTTTTTTGTTTCTTCCTTTTAAAAAGATCCTGGCTTTATCCAGGCTCTAAATTACTTGATCACTCAGTATCTTTAAGTGGATGGTAGGATAAACGGTAGAGGGCTCAGTGAGGAAACAGTGTGAGGTCATTTTCTAGAACTGATCTAACCCAAAAGGCAGATTATGTTTAATAACACCTTGCATAATGACTTTGCTTACATTTGCTAACTGGAGCACACTGTGTCTAAGGATGCCCCAGGTGAGGATGAGGAGGAAGATGGAGTCAGTGAAGCAGCCAGTCTAGAGGAGCCTAAGGAAGAAGATCAAGGAGAAGGCTACTTGTCAGAAATGGATAACGAACCCCCTGTGAGCGAGAGTGATGATGGCTTTAGTATACACAATGCTACTCTGCAGTCCCACACACTGGCGGACTCCATCCCCAGCAGTCCTGCTTCTTCACAGTTGTGAGTATCTAAGATTCTTCCTTTGAGGTCAAGGCAGTGAAGGTGAGAAGTAGGAGAGGATCTTTTCTTTAATCTTACTTTTTCATTTTCCCTTTCTTGGCCTGGAGTAAATACAGGCATACCTTGGGGATACTTTGGTTTTGTTTCCCGACTAACCACAATAAACTGAGTATCACAATAAAGCGAGTCATCATCTTTTTGCTGGTGGAGGGTTTTGCCTTCAATTTGTAAAAAAATAAATAAATAAATAAAAATAACATTTTTGAAGCTCAGTAAAGCAAAGCACAGTAAAATAAGGTATGCCTGAAGTTGACAAGAAATAATTAGGACTTTTTTTTAAACTTATGCCTAGTGGAACTTCTGTATTTTTTTATTTTAGCTCTGTCTGTAGTGAGGATCAGGAAGCTATTCAAGCACAGAAAATCTGGAAGAAAGCCATCATGCTTGTATGGAGAGCTGCAGCTAATCATAGGTGAGTAGGGGCTTTACCAGTTAGTAAGAATATTTTCTCCTACTCGGTGACTAGAAGAATATTTGAGTAGGCTTATTTGAAGCTAGAGGCATTGGCTCTTAACAACCTTCAGCTACTTAGGTTCTCTCACCTCTGCTTTGGGGGTTAAGCCAGTAATTGCACCTTATTCTCTTTGGACAGATATGCCAATGTGTTTCTGCAGCCTGTTACAGATGACATAGCACCTGGCTACCACAGCATCGTGCAGAGGTAAGCCATAATCAATTCAGCATGGCAACTTCGCTGGATTGTAAGTTGTCCAGTCTTAGTTAATTTTTGCTTTAGACGGTAAGTTTAAAGCAAATGTTTTTGATGTGAGTAAAGGTGACCAACTGCTAAACTGATTGTTTCAGCAACTGGATCACTGATAGTCTAAAAGAATTAACCCCTTTTTTATCCTTTCTCAGTACTTATTATACAGGCTGACTTTCGTTTTTGGGTTCAGTACATGTTTCAGGGTGAGGGTTTAGTGTTCAAGTCCTGGCAGCTGGGATTAGCAGGGTGTGTGAGAAGATCTAAATGGGTAAAAATATATTCAGGGATCCAGTTGAGTCCTCTTCCCCGCTCATAGATTTACCTGTTGTTCTTTTTCAGGCCAATGGATTTGTCAACAATTAAGAAAAACATTGAAAATGGACTGATCCGAAGCACAGCTGAATTCCAGCGTGACATTATGTTGATGTTCCAGAATGCTGTAATGTATAATAGCTCGGATCATGATGTCTATCACATGGCAGTAGAGATGCAGCGAGATGTTTTGGAGCAGATCCAGGTATTATACTTTGTAGAATCCTCAGTTTTTGAGCATGGATGAAATGAAAATACTCAAGGGAATGATTCACATTGATGTCAGGAAAAGGGTGGCTTTTACTTGGAATAGCATCAGGCAGAAACACAGGAATATGAAATTTTATTTTTGCTGGATTCATGTTAAATATATTTTTATTGTTTTCAGAGTGGAAAGGAGAAGGAGAGAGAGATAGAAACATCAATGATGAGAGAGAATCATGGATCAGCTGCCTTCTGCACGCCCCACACTGGGGATCAAGCCTACAACCTGGGCATATGCCCTGAACAGGAATCGAACTGTGACCTTCTGGTTCATGGGTTAATGTTTAACCACTGAGCCATGTTTGCTGGACTCATGTTACTTTTTTCATGTTGGCATGGTAAATGAGTTGTGACAGAATAGTCATCTTTCTTGGGCAAATTTCCTGGAATTTTAATATAAAATTCTTATAAAATGATTAACGTATATTTTGTATTACATTAAGTATAACTATAGTAGACAATCAACAAATAGAAACTTATTTCTAACCTATAAATGCATTGCCAGGCACCTTTTGGGATATTAAACTTGAAGGGATGTGGTCTATCTCTGCAGTCTGCCAAATTACTTAAATTACTTGGTAGTCTTTGGTTCATCTAGTTTTATTCTTTCTTAGAGAATGGAAATTTCAATCCTATGTTATAGCCAAAAAAAAAAAAAAAAAAAAAGTTAGAGCCATTTGGCATTTTTAGATTCTTAAATGTACAACGGAAATTAAAAGTGAGTGTTTTAAATTTCTAGAAGTATTTGAATGCTGATTGCAAAAGGGTACTATATTTACAAAACCTAAGGTATCTTTAATTCTTCCCTACTGGATCTGGTCTCTAGGGCCAACTGTGTTTCTTCTCCCTACAGCAATTCCTGGCCACACAGTTGATTATGCAAACATCTGAGTCTGGGATCAGTGCTAAAAGTCTTCGAGGAAGAGATTCTACTCGCAAACAGGATGCTTCAGAGAAGGTGAGGAGACCAAGAAAGAGCCTGTTTGCCATTGTTCCAGTGCTAGAAGTCTGAAGCATCCAAAGAACTTTATGTTACGGCTTGGTATTGTTGGGCTTCAGTATTCCAATGGTGTACATACTAGGTATACCGGTTAATAATGCGGATTTTTTTCAATAGATGGATTTCCACATATGTTGATATCTATGCTATTTTGTTGTATTGACAGCAAGCTTCAAAACTTCATAAGTCAAATTTGCTGAAGGTGTTAACATCCATATTTTTACGTTTAAAAATGTCGAATTTGGTGCCAAAAATAGAGCATTTGTGGGAAGTTTTAATTCATTACTTTATTTTGAAGAAAAGTGCTGCTGAAAGTTATCCTGTTCTTCAGGAAGCTTATGGTGAACATGTTTCATTTCTCAATGGGAAAGATTTTAAAGGAAGGAAAATGGGTGCCACATCAACTGAAAGACAAATGGAAAACCAAAAAGTCATCAGTAAAATTTGCTTCCACGGCATGAAAGTCTTTTTTGCATTGAATTGTGACTGGCAGTGAAAAGTGGATTTATTTTGAGAATCCCAAATGCACAAAATCATGGGTTGATCCAGTTCAACCATCAACATCAATTGCAAGGCCAGATCACTTTGGAAAGAAGACAATGCTCTGCGTTTGGTGGGATCAGGAAGGTGTGGTTCTAAAACCAGATGATACTGTTAATACTGATTGCTACAAATAATCAATTTGACAACAAATAATCAATTTGAACAACAAATAATCAATTTGAACGATGCTTTGATCATGAAACGACCAAAATGTGCCAGAATATATGGCAAAGTAATTTTCCTTCATGATGATGCACCATCACATACTTCAAAACCCGTTAAAGACTCATTAAAAGATCTTGCCTGGGAAGTATTAACCCACCCGCCGTATTCACCAGACCTCGTTCCTTCACATTACCACTTGTTCCGATCAATGGCACACATACTTTCTGAGCAGCACTTCAAAATGTACGAAGAAGTGGAAAATTGGGTCTCTGAGTGGTTTGCCTCAAAACAAAAGTTCTATTGGGATGGTATTCACAAATTACCTGAAAGATGGGGGGAAATGTGTAGCTAGCGATGGACGTTACTTTGAATAAAGTACTTTTAAAAAATATATATCTTTATTGATTTCAGAGAGGAAGGGAGAAGAGAGAAATATCAATGATGAGAGAGAATCATTGATAGGCTGGCTCCTGCATGTCCCCCACTAGGATTGAACTCACAACCTGGGCATGTGCCCTTGGCCAGAATCGAACCTGGGATCCTTCAGTCCGCAGGCCCTTTATCTATTTAGCCAAACCAGCCAGGGATGAATAAAGCACTTTTGATGTTTCTCTTAAAAGTACCGTGTTTTCTTTGATTACAAAATCCGCATTATTAACTGGTACACCTAGTACAAGCCTTAGAATGTTGGTCATTTGCTTCCATTCAAACAGAAGAAACCTACTGTGACTGAAAGGCCCAGTCACATGGGAGAAATTGTGAGCTGAGTGAGCAAATTACTAATTCTTCTGAGAGTGCTCACAAGGTGGGGGAAATGTCTAGGCTTGTAACAATTGCAGACCATTAGTTCCTGTTCCAGAGGCATAATGGCTAGATTGCTTTTGGATCTCTTTCTTCTTGTTCTTGAGTTTTTAAGTTTTGTCTTTGTGTGTGTGGTGCTTGTTTCTCTGTCCTGAGGTTTGGGGTGCTTATGGCTGAGAGTTTCTGTGGAACCTGATCAGTGTTTGTTTGTCCTCTAACAGGACAGTGTCCCCATGGGCTCTCCTGCCTTCCTTCTCTCTCTCTTTGTAAGTATTGAATGGCTGCAAGGGGTGGTGTTGCCACAGAGATTCTCTGCTCCCGCTGGGGGTGGGTGGCAGAGGGAAAGCCAACATGCAGACTGTAGCAATGTGTTGAACTTTGAATAAGAACCTGTCTCTTCTGCATTCCTGTCTTTCTGCATGTGTGTGTGTGGGCTGGGTAGGGACTTTTTATGAGTTCACTGGGCTGGAATGAGGTATTGGTAAGGATCCAGGATGTACCGCTCCTCATTTCCTGACTCCTTTAGCCAATTCTTTTCTTACAAATAGAAAATTATTCAGAGAAGCAGCTACTAGCTGACTTTTGAAAAGCGTTCCTCATAGTAGATACTCAACACACAGTTTTTATATTTTCCCCTAATAATAAGTTGCAAGACTGCCTACATACATAAACATTCAGTAAAATATAAGATAAAGATCTCGGTAATAATGACTGCTGCAGATAATAGTGGCTGGTACAAATAGTGATAAGCCTAGGAAAGCTAGCCTAAAGACTTATTCCTTTCTCCATGAATTGGAGACTCTGACTGTTATTCATTTTTGGGTGCTGAGACATGATATAATGGAAAGGGCATTAGGCAAAAATAGAAAAACCACATGATCTTAAATTGACTGGATTATGTCTTGGAGCCTTGTTTTCCTCATCTGTCTGCTGGAGCTAATATAATGATGTACCTGCCCAGCCTACCTCACAGGGATGTTGTGAGGATAAAATGAGATAAGGGGTATGGAACTGGCTTGAAAAAAATTAAAATGTTAATACAAATACAAGATGGTATTTTTATTTTTAGTGTTGCCTCAAAGGCAACTTGTGTTGGTGAGCTCTAAATATTTGAGTTCTTAAATGTTAGAAATGTAAAAATGGCCTGGCCAAACAAAAGTGTTCATTCATCTTGCCTACAGGCCTCAGCCTGTACCACAGACAGAACACTATAATCTCCGTTCTTTTTTATTGGCCTGCAACAGTGACTCTGGATCCCAAGCAATTGGCTGGCTGTTACAAGGCTGGTTAATAGGATCTTTTATCTATTGAAGACAGCAATGTATTGCACAAGAGGAAGGATCTGGGCTGCAGGGAGAGAGCAGCAGATGGAAAGAAGCCTTCTGATTGTCCTGATCTCATGGAAAACAACTGTCAGGTGGTGCTAGGGAACTAGTGCCAGGGTCAGTCTGCAGGAAAGGCCTTTCTTTAGGGACCAACAAACAGCTGGACAGGTATGTTAGCTAAGAATCTCACTATCCACTGCCCTTTCTGACTCTCCTTTCTTTTACTCTTCCTGTTCCTTTGCACATAATTTGGGGGCTGCGGAGGGATGACAAATAGTCATTTTGTGGGCCCCAGATGAACTCCAGCAACCTCTGGTGGGCAGGAGCAAGATACTCTGTACTATATATTCTCTTACAAAGTACTACCAGGTGATTTTTACTACACACTATGGGAAGACATATTATGTCCCTCGTTTCCTGGATTTTTCTGCTAATTCTTCTCTTCCCTAAGAAATCAAATCCCCAGCATTCTTGTTCTTTCTCTCTTTTTTAACCAACTCACTCATGTTCCCTTTTTTTTTCTGCCTGTTATTTAGGATGGTGGCACCAGGGGGCGCCGCTGTGCCATTGAAGCAGATATGAAGATGAAAAAGTGAAGTCTCAGAGTACCCTCATTGTGCTGGACCTGAAAAAGAAATAAACAAGTTAAAGTTTGGGCTTGTGGGCCCAGTTCCAGAAGTGGGAGATACAGAAGAGGAGGCTCCAGGGCCATGTGACATGATCTGGGAAAATCTCAGAGAGTTGGAGTAGCATAATTGCCTGTTTTAGGGCAAAAATCATGGGCTGTGTTAATGTCCTAATGTGAAACAGATAGTAGCTAATTTGTACTGTCTTGTGAAGTGTACAGACTTTTAAAAAAATCTGTGAAGTATTTGTGTTCAAAATAAACTCTGAAAGAAAACTCGTCTTTGGTGTGTTCTTGTGTGTGTGTATGAAACCTGTGATTTCTTCTGCATGATAACTATTTCGTCATTTGTTAGAGAGGGAACGTGGTCTTATAAAATGAATTATTCTGTTACAACTCAGAGAAGGTAAATAAATAACCAAGATTTAATTTGTAATTAATGTTTTAGAACAGCAATCAATTTTTCCGGACCTCACGGACCACCAGTGGTTCAGAGATCACTGGTTGGCAATCACTGCTCCAAAGGTTTCTTAAGCCAGCCGTTGCCAACCTTTTGGACCTCGAGGACCACTGATTGTGGACAGCTGTTTTAAAGTGTTGCGTTGTACAATAAGGACTCATTTAGCTTTTCTTGAATGCTGGGGAAAACTGAAAGGTTTTAAAAGTTTTGTTTGTTTCATTGTCCTAGATTTGAGCATAGATGTATCGGTAGTGCTGACCTTTATTTTGTTCATTTAAACATAATACTATGCAGATGGTATTTCTAGGATAGTATATTACTGTTTCCTTATCTATTTCTATATATGGGGTTCTTATGTGTTTTAGATTCATAACATGTTATTTGAAGGCTAAACTGAGTTTAAGAGTTACCACATCACTTGAGCTTATTCTAACTTCTCTTACTACATAAAAATTAACTCAGTGGAAAGTAGTTATAACCTTTTATTATAAAGACATGGAGATTAATAGGGTATTGCTTCATACTTTAGCCGTCTTGAGAGAGATCGGAATAGGAAAGATGATGAGGCCCTAGCCGGTTTGGCACAGTGGCTAGAGTGTCAGCCCAAGGACTGAAGGTTCATTCCAGTCAAGGGCACATACCTCGGTTGTAGCAGGCTTGATCCCTTGCCCCAAAGCTTGTGCTGGAGGCAACCAATTGATGTGTTTCTCTCACATCCATGTTTCTGTTTCTTCCCCTCCCACTCTTTCTAAAAGTAAATTAACAACAAAAATGATAGAAGTCAGAATTTGTGTGTGCGTGTATGCGCACACACGTGCACATGTTATTGATTTTTTTTTACAGAGAGGAAGGGGGAGGGATAGAGAGCCAGAATCATTGGATGAAAGAGAGACTTCAATGGGCTGCCTCCTGCATACCCCCTACCGGGGATGTGCTTGCAAAGTACTATATACCCTTGACTGGAATAGAACTTGGGACTCTTCAGTCTGCAGGCTGACATTATCCACTGAGCCAAACTGGTCAGGGCCATATATATGTGTGTGTGTGTGTGTGTGTGTGTGTGTGTGTGTGTGTGTGTGTGTGTATGTAAGTATACACACACACACACATATACATATATGTATTTTTTATTTTTTATTAATTTCAAAGGAAGGGAGAGAAACATCAATGAGAAAATCATTGATTGGCTGCCTCCTGCATGCCCCACTTTGGGGAATCAAGCCTACAACCCAAGCATGTGCCCTGATTGTGAATCCAATTATTATTTTCTGGTTCATAGGTTGCTGCTCAACCACTGAGCCATGCTGGCCAGGCCAGATCTTTATTTTTTTAAAGTTTGTTAGGATGCTAACAAGCTAAAAGAATACAGTCTTTATGAGGTGATGGAAAGGAGTTTAATGAGCCCAGGAAAATAACTGCAGTGTACCACCAAAGCAATGCACAAATGTGCATGTAAATAAGCAGTGAAACCTTTAAAGTTGGAGAAGTATGGACAAGGAGAACCATTAAAAGAACAGATTTGGATTGGTAGAGAAGGTGATGAATAAGTTTAGCAATCCAGGTTAAAGGTGTAGGTATCTATGGTGGGGGCAATAGGGAGACGTAATTAGAACAGGGATCATCTAAGGAATAATGAAGTAGGGTTTGATTTATGGAGTTCTTCCGAGTGGCAGATTGAGAAATTTATATTGAGGGAATAGCTGTTGTAAAGCCTTGCACAGGGAGACCTTGAGAGCAGATTGGATTAAAGATAGAAAAATTGACCAAGGGGCTATAACTTTGAGGAGCAAAGAATGGGGATTGAGAAAAATGGTGGAAGAAAACTGGGAAATGGACTTGCTTACCAAATGCAGGAGATGAGTTAAAACAGGATCAAGAAATAGTATTGATGGGGATAAGGAAATTGGTGAGAGTAAATGGTTTTGGAGATAATCAGGAAGAGAAGTGATCCAAGTTTTTGAAATGTTGAGTTGAAGCAGATGATAGAGCACCAAAAAGGAATTGACCTTTGGGTACAGAGAGAAATGAGACCAGAATGCACATAAGAAGTTAAAAGACAGAGATTTGGGAGCCACCTGAAAAGACATAAAAATTGAAACCTCAAAGTATGTATGTGTATATATATATATATATATATATATATATATATATATATATATATATATTTAAGTATGTATCAATGAGGAAGTAGAGGACCATGCAAGAACATTGATAAGGATTTGTTGAAAGTAGTAGTTGTAAAAGGAGAGAACAAAGGGGTAGGAAAATCAATATAGTGCAGTGGTTGGCAAATTGTGGCTCGTTTGCCACTCTGTTGACTAATGAGTTTGCCGACCACTGGGATAGTGTAATGAAAGGAAGATATTTTTAAAACTTGATGTTGCAATTTTCATTTTGAAAAGTGAGAATTGGATATAATGGGTAATCTTAAAATGTGTTTTGAGGATTTAACGGTTGATAGTTTCATACCTACACACTGAGGAAAATATCACTAATCCCTCTTACTTATTGCCTTGCAGTTGATTTTAAGAATGATTTCAAATAGAGGAATTTCATTCAGCTAACTATGGCCCACTTTATTTTTTATGTTTTTCAATTACAGTATACAATCAATATTATTTTGTATTAGTTTCAGGTGTACACCATAGTAGTTAGATACTTGGTAAAGTGTTCCCCCTGATATTTCTGCTACCCACCTGGCACCAAAAATATTTATTGCAATATTGTTGACTATATTTCCTATGCAGTACTTATGCTCCAGTTCTTTTTCTTTTGGAGTTAGGAGGAAGTCCAAGAAAAAAAAATACTTATTGGGTAATATCTTTATTTTACTGTTTGACATGGGACTTTTTCTTTATTCCCAATGACAGATCATTTTGTCTCCTGGTATCTCATTTCAGCTATCTTTTATTAATGAGTAGAAATACATTTATGTCCCCTTATCTTTCTATTGAACTTGGGAGATGAGATGCAAATGTCTTAGGAATATTGATTTGAGTGAATTTAATGCATTTTTTTTTTCTGTGTATTTACAGATGGGGCGTGAATGGGTTTGGTTGAATTCTGAACAAGACTATCCCAATGACTCTGAGTTGAGCAACAACTGCAGGTCCCTCTTCAGCTCATGGGACTCCAGTCTGGATCTTGATGTGGGCAGCTGGAGGGAAACTGAGGAGCCAGGGACTGAGGAATTAGTGGAAAGCAGCCCAGGGACAGAATCTAGTGAGCTGCTTATGGGGGATGGAGGCAGTGAGGAATCTCAGGAAGAGACAGAGCAAACCAGCCACCAGAACCTCCTACACTTTCTCTCTGAGGTAATGGGGAGTCATTATTTTCAAAGTTGGAAGAGTCTTAACTCTAAGAGAATGCTTACTCATATATATTTTACCACTCTTAATATTATTTACTGAAATATAAGTTCCACAGGGACTAAGTTCATTGCTGTGTCTTCAGCACTTGGTACTAACACAAAATGTGCTTCAAATGTGAACTTTTGAGCTGAATATTCTAAAATCCAGTCATTGGGACCCTGAGTCAAAGGAAATGAAATTTCTGTATGCAAGACTACCCTATAAGAGTATCCTTGCAATCATTCTTTCAGTCATGAGAAGTGATTCTTGTCCAAACTCGCCTTAAAGCTTATAATGTATGATGTTAAAGGCAATATTTTACAGTATTTTATTATGCTAGGTCTGAGGATCAGAAATAAACAGAATTTGACAGTTTATATTTATGCAGCAACCACACACACAGTCAGGATAATATAGGTGAAGATCAGCAAGAATCCAGTTCAAATGTTGCCACTTCTTGCCGAGACTAGTTTGGCTCAATGGATATAGCATCGGCTTGGGGACTGAAGGGACCTGGGTTCAATTCCGGTCAAGGGCATATACCTTGGTTGCAGGCATATTCCCAGTAAGGGGTGTGCAAGAGGCAGCTGATCGATGACTCTCTCTCATCAATGTTTCTGGCTTTCTATCTCTCTCCTTTCCTCTCTGTACAAAATCAATAAAATATATTTAAAAAAAAAAATGTTGCCACTTCTGTTTTGGCAGACAAAATTTTCAGCAGTTTGGCAGCCAGTCCCAATTGATCAGAATTGACACTTGAGATGAAAATGTATAATATAAGCTCTTTGAGGCAAGGCCAATATCTTGTTTATTATTAGATCCTTACCAACTAGAACAATGCCAGTGTATCCTATTACAATAAAAACCTAATATGCTGTGAAGGTTCACTGGTTGGTTGTTCAATCAAAGCATAATATGCTAATGATTTGCTAAGGCTGCTCAACCGCTTGTTATGATGTGTACTCACCACCAGGGGGAAGATGCTTTGACCAGTAGATTAGCTTGCTGCTAGGTTCTGGCTGATGGAGACTGAGCAGGATGGGCCGGACATGCCCTGGAGCCTTCCCACAGTCCCTCCCCTGCTGGCCAACTTCCCGTGTCCCTCCCCAGCCCTGATTGTGCACTTGTGGGATCCCTCGGCCTGGCCTGCACCCTCTCACA